GAGTGGGAGGCTGAACTAAAGTCACTCGTGTGAATTTGGGGTGACACAAAACACCACACAAACACACCTTTTATATGAGCTTCAGGATGGCTTCCATGTCTCCTGGCCTTAGGTTCCCCAAGAAGGGGAGCAAGAGAAGGTCATGAGAGGCTGAAGAAAGAGAGAGAGAGAGAGAGAGAGAGAGAGAGAGAGAGCGAGCCCAAGAGCGAGCAAGTACATTCAGAAGTGGGCTTTTACATGGGGGGACACTGTTTCTTAGAACATTCTATCCAAAAAAGTCAGAATGGGTAGGATTACAAAGGAACAGGTGAGTGTAACTCAACCCCAGCGGGTGGCCTACACCTGGAGCCACATCTTGTTATCCCAGCTGGGGTAATGTCCAAGTTACTGCAGAACACAATAATTGTTCAGGACCCTGGGGCATCAGGAGTTAAAGACGTGTTCATCCAGGGCGCCTCCCCAGACTCTTCCTAAGAGACAATTGCTTTATTCAGGGGAAGAAGGAGTAGTCAGTTTCACGGGCATTGACAACAATCACAGATCATACCCTGAACCCAAAACTTACCAGGAGCAGTGCAGCACTGAATGGACCAGCACACACTCTGCTGTGGCCTCTCTGCTGGCCCAAAACTGCTGCAAAGAGCCACAGCTGGTGCTGGCTGGGATATTAGTCTGTGTACCTGGTTCTGTGAGTCACCAATAGGCACACAGATGGGTCCAGAGGCACCAGCTGTAGGCACTGTCCTGGGGACAGTGACTATTTTGATTCACACAGTGCTGGGTTTTACCAGCCCCATATTAAATTCTAAGACAAGGACTTATGCTCACTTTCCTGACCTAATCAACAGGAGCTGGAGCTTTCATCCTTATTATCTGTCCAAGGTTGTAGGAGGGGTGATGGGCATAGTACCTTGGCCACCTGACTAAGAGGGACAAGAGGCTCAGCTAGGCAGCAGAGTCTATGAGCCCTGTCCAGCACTGAGTTTCCCTGTGTTGGGGACCACACTGGGAAAGATCAGGACTTAATTTCTGCTTCCTACAACTTTCTGCACATTGGGCTCCCTGGGGTTGGAAGAGGGCTGACACTGACAGCTCTTTTCTTCCTACCTTCTTCAGTGTGTGTTTCCAGGCACTGCAGTGTTCCACCTGAATTCCGAGGTGATGTGAAGGTGTTTGGTGCATGAGGAGCTGTCTAAACTGGGCAGATGATCACTGCAGCCTCCTACTCAGCCTCCCTATTGCTCCCATCTCCTAACTTTTGATCATATCTATTTAATGACCTAGCCCTTTTACACCTAAGTGTGCACCCCAAATGAAACATAGATCAAAAAAGATTTATAAACGAACATGAACAGCAGCTTTATTTATCACACCTACAACTTGGAAAGAACCCCAATGCCCATGGACAAGTGAATGGATAAGTAAATTGTAATATGTTCATAGAGTAAAATATTATTTAGCAAGAGAAAATGAACAATTGATGAATTAATTTAAAAGTAATTATGATAAATGAAAATAACTAAATAAAAAATGCTATTAAATAGCATTTTTTTGCATCAAAATCTACAATGTGCAAAATTCACCTTTACTGATAGCAAGCAAGTGGTCACCTGGAGATGGTGGTAAATGGAGGGAAGAATAACAAATGCACTTGAAATTAGGGTGATTGCTGGGTTAATTGAAGTAATGGTTTTATAGACCTACATGTCTGTCAAAACTGATTAGATTGTATACTTTATGTACAGTTAATCATATGCTCTTTTATACTAAAGTTGTAAAAATAAACACTATCTACTACTTCTATTATTAAAATGTTATTCTACATTTATTTTATATCTTAAAATGAAGATAATGGAATATATATGATCATAAGCGTACATGAGGCAGATGTTTTAAATACAGCAGGGTAAGTATTAGACTTTAGTGTTTGATAATTTTGGCTACATTGAAGCACATATATCTGTTCCTCAAAATGCATCAACAGTATATTTCAGAAAAGATGACAATATTTTCAATATGTATAGCAGAAAATTGTTGCACACAACATATATAAAGGACTCTTAAATATTAGTAAAAACTAACGTAGATAATTTAATAATTCAGGTAGAAAATGGACACAATTATTAAATTTATACAAAAGAATATGCAATCAGGCTATATATGTGAAAATATGATCCAATTTTGGTAGTTTTCAGACAAATGTCAATTAAAAACCACAAAGAGTTTCTACTATTTATAAACCATGTGACTAAAATCACAAGGTCCAGTCTCAAGCATGGGAAAAATATCAAGCAACACAATATTCTTATTCTTTATGGTAGTTTTAGTTGATGGAAGCATTCCAGAAATGTTTAAAAGTACCTACCAATATTGATATGTATGAATTGGTCTTTTGATTCTTAGATGTATCAATCAGCATTCAAAGTGCATGAAGACACATACATACGAATATATTATTTATAATTGATCTTTTACATTCAAATATATTATTTATATTTGACCTTTGTCAATGCACATCAACATAAAAAAGTCAACAAATTACAGTGTGTTTTACCATGGCATATTATTCAAGGAGAAAGATGAGCAGAATAGAGGTACAACCAGCAATCTAACAAAATTTATAAGATACACACAATATATACTGTGTAAGTCATTCATACAAAATTCAAAATCAAGCAATACTAAAATTTAAAACTTAGGAATGCCTGCTTAGGCTGCGAAGTATATAGAATAAACGGGGGTGGGGAGGAAATAATTATATTAGATGTAAGAAAGAAGTTTATACTTGTTAGGGGAAGTGAGAGATTGTGATAACAAAAGGACAATTACAGGACATGTTGACAGTGAGTAATGATTTATTTCTTCACCTACATTGTAATATCATGGTCATTTTCTTTATAATAAGTTTTTCCCTTTTATGCTTGTAAATTATAAACTAAAATAAAAAGAAAAAATACATTTCCACCAGTGGTTTTATTTACCTATTTTTTTCTAATCACTTAAATCTAAGATATTTGTAACTACTTACTCATAGATAAAGAAGAGCTATTATCACACTTGTATTTTCTTCTGTACTATCTACTCTTACAAATTTACCTAAATCTAGTTGCTAAATTATTACAACCTAAAATAGTTTCCCATAGTTAATTCTGATGTCATAGGAGTTTCATTTAAAAATTCTTTTTCCAATTTACATGTGTATTTTAAGATTTTTGTTATCTTACTTCTTATTCCAGAAAAAATACTTAAACCATGAATTCCTAAAGATACATACTGGATTTCTTTTTTCTGATGCAAGGAGGTTGGATTATTATATTTTCTGTTGATTTGTTCCAAAAAGGCATTTTTCTAGTTTCATTTATTTACTTTGTTGTATTTTACATTTGATACCTTGAATTTCATTATTTAATTTATGATTAACTGGTAGTTATCATTTTATTCTATCATTTTGGTTTATTATTTGGAAATACCATATGTGTACTCTCTCTATTCTTATTTTTCATGCATAATAACTTTATGAAAATTTTGTATATTTGGCACATATTTTTCTAAGAGAATGATTCTTCAATAATTATTCGCTTTGTATTATTAATCCCACAAATACTGGAATATCTAATTATCCAATGCAGAATTAAAATGAATTATTTAGTTGTTTGCATTTATTATTTCATTTAACATCTTATTCAGCTTGTCTGCCTATCCACTAACATAATTCTTTTTAATTTTGAAAATGTTTCTATTAGTGCATTATAGTTGTGCATACTATTTCAGTTCAGTTGACATAATCATACACACATGGAATATAATTTGCTACAATTCAGTCCCCAGTACTTCTTCTTTCCCTCTTTTCCTCCCTCCCTCTGTTCCCCTTCCTCTACTCCACTGGTTTTCCTTTATTTTTTTTTAAATTACTGCTTTATATACATATACATAAAGAAAAGCTTACTGTGATACATTCATATGTGTACATAGTATAATTTGGTCAATTTCTCTTCACCATACCTCCTTTTTCTTTTCCCTCCTGCCTTCCCCTCAACCCTCTTCCTCTATTACACTGATCTCTTCCACTGACCTCTATCCCCTTCTTTAATTTAGCATTCACATATAAGTGAAAATATTCAGCCCTTGACTTTCGGAGTCTAGATTCTTTCACTTATAATGATGTCCAGTTCCTTCCATTTACGCTGGTAAATGATGTAATTTCATTTTTTATGGCTGAATAAAACCCATTATGTATGCATACCACATTGTCTTTATCCAGTTATCTGTTGATGGGTACCTGGAGTGGCTCCATAGCTTGGCTTCTGTGAATTGTGATGCCATAAATATAATTGATTCCAAATTTGTTAAAATGTAGATTCAAAAAACAGGAAATACAGTGGAATGAATCTAACATAACTATCCAATATATATATATGAATACACCACAGTGAATCTCCACATCATTTAAACCACAAGACTGGGATCCTAATTAGATAACATGTACTCCATGTTTCTATAAATATGTCAAAATATACTCTACTGTCATGTATAACTAAAAAGAAGAAATTTATAAAATGTTTTAAAAAGCAAACAGCAGGAAATAGAATATAATAATTATAAATAAATAACTATAATAATTATAAATAAACATAATAAATTATAAATAAACATAATAATCATAAATAAATAAATAAAATAGAACATAATATTTAGAATCAAGCACTTTTCTCTGAAATCTTATTTTATGTATAAGTCTAAGGAACTAGAGAGGAAGCATTGAGTTTAAATGGACAGGGTATACATAGAAGAATGACATAACTAAATTGAAATCTCAACACAAGAGAAATTTTGTTTCTTATGTTTTAGCCAATCAATTGAATACCTCCTTGAATTATGAGCATCTGAGATATAAACCTTTATTTTTAGATGTAACTATTTGAGGAAGATATAATTTTTTACCTCAGTGAAGTTGTTACTTATAACCAACCAAAAACTTCTATGCAGGGAGTAGTTAACAATCAAGAATTTGGGGAGGAGACAAACATTTTCCAGACATGTCTGCGGATTTCTTTGGTCTTAACTCCATAGACAATAGGGTTGAGAAAAGGTGGGACTAACAGGTAAAGATTTGACAAGAGGATATGAACATAGGGTGGTATGTGAGAACCAAACCTGTGTGTAAAGAAAGAGAAGAAGGCCAGGAGGTAGAATGGTAGGAAGACACAGATGTGAGCTACGCAGGTATTGAAGGCCTTGACTCGGGCCTCCTTCTGGGGCAACTGGAAGACAGTGACAAAGATTCGAACATAGGACATGGTAATAAAGATTATGTCAAATCCTAGGATGGCAAAGGCAACAAATAGGCCATATATCTTGTTGACTCTGATGTCTTCAGCAGCCAGTTTCACAACAGCCATGTGCTCGCAATAAGAGTGGGAAATAACTGTAGTTTGGTAGAGTTTCAGTCGGCATTTGATAAGCAGCAGGGATGGTAATGAAAGAATGGCAGACCTCATTGTTACTCCCACTCCAAGATGAGTCAAGAGTTTCTGGGAGAAGACAGTAGCATGTCTCAAGGGGTTACAGATGGCCACATAGCGATCCAGGGCCATTGCCAGCAGGACGCCTGATTCAGTTCCCTGGAATGAGTGAACAAGACCCATTTGCAGCAGGCAGGCATCAAAAGAAATCTCTGGCCAATGAAACCAGAAGATGCCTAACATTTTGGGAAGAATACAGGTGCTAAGTGCCATGTCTGTGGCTGCCAACATGGCCAAAAATATGTACATGGGTATGTGGAGGCTGTTTTCTTTTTTGATGATAACCAAAATGAGGGAATTCCCAATCACAGCAATGACGTACATGGTGCAGAATGGAATCCCAATCCAGCACTGCACTGACTCCAGGCCAGGAATCCCAACTAGTGTAAAAACAGAAGGCATGAAGAAGGAGCCATTGAATGTGAGCATGGTGACTTCTTGGTCAGAAGAGCCACGTGGTGCTGCTGCTGTTTCATCTTCTAATCCATCTCAAGACTGGATGAATTGAAAATGAGGAGAAAATAATTTATTTTAGAAAAATATACTGGAGTTAGATTAGCAGTATGCTCTTTTAACCCTTTCACTCCCAAAACTCCTCTCTATTTTTCTTTCTATTTCCTTTGCCAAAGTCATTGAAAAACGAGCCATCAGGATCCATGTTTCTGTATACCATGATCATATTAAATGAGCAAAATTAAATTTACTAGATGATTACTTTCTGTTCCCTTACTACTGAACCAAGAGGATTCCCTTTATCTGTGTTTGCTACTAATCGGGTATGTTTGTGACTTGTAACTTGGAAAAGAGACAAAAATTATTTAATTATAAAGATATTTCGAAATCTAGGTTCTACCTACACCTTATATAAAGAATTCAGAGGTGACAGAGCAGTTTTCTGAAACTCAGAAGACAAGCTTTCCAGGAACATTTTTCAGTTTTGCTGCTCTTTAGCTGGATTTCTTAGGTTAGTCTATTTATACTTTATTTTGTCATAAATTCCCTTGGAATACAATCAAACTCATTTCTCAAAGTTCCAATTTTCCCAAATCCAAGCATTTATTTGACAATTTTCTCTATTTGTCCTCTGAGAAAATGAATCCATTATACTTTAGTTCATGGACACGTTCTCTCAGAACTTCTCACCTTCCATGACTGGCTATGCGCACATCACTTGTATTTAACATCAGTGCCAACCCATGTTCTCTGCTTCTCTTGCTCTCTCTCAGCAATCATTTCACTTTTCTAAGAATGAACAGTTATTTCTCTTTAACCTTTTGAAATAACATGAAATGACTTATAAAAAGTATTTTCTTTTCTTTACAGCCTTGTAGATCTGCCATCCAACCAAACTACAATTTCCATAGAGGTGAAATTTTTCTTCTCCACAGTGTTTTCCATATGACTCTCTCCATCCTGTTCTGTCTCTGCCTTCACTGGTCACCCCCACCCCCATGACACTGCAGACATCCGTCTTGGTTACCAAGGAATTTGCTTCAGCACAAAGGAGCTTTGCCTTACATCTTCCAAAGCTCAAAGTCATTTTCCTGCCTATTTGCAATCTGTATTTATTTCTCCTTCAAGAAATAATTTTCCCTCAGAATACAAAAATCTTAAATCATTTACACAATGCATTTATTTTCTTGTAGAATAGTGAAAATCATTTTCTGAAGCCATTGAAGTAATATTTAAAATAGTTACTTAAGAGATAGTGAGGTTTCATTGGAAAATGAGGAGAAAATAATTTATTTTAGAAAAATATACTGGAGTTAGATTAGGAGTATGGTCTTTTAACCATTTCACCTCCAAAACTCCTCTCTATTTTTTTTGTATTTCCTTTGCCAAAGTCATGGAAAAATGAGCCATCAGGATCCATGTTTCTGTATACCATGATCATATTAAATGAGCAAAATTAAATTTACTAGATGATTATTTTCTGTTCCCTTACTACTGAATCAAGAGGATGAAAACCATGCCTTCTCCATCATTTCACAGGGGTGTTTGTTGTTGCTTCATCCACTTCCCTGATCAACTAAAAATGAATCTCAGAAATAAATTGGCAACTATAACCCACATCATGGCAACTGGAGTAGCATTTGCTGCTTCCTTTTCTTTAAACTTATCAAACTATGATCAAAACTTTCCTGAGTCTTGTCATTGAGAAACTCTTCTTTTTAACAAATACAAAATCATGTTCAACCAGGTCTTCCTTCCATCACAAGATAATGTTATCATACACAAATTAAATGTTTATCTCCTAATGTTTTTATTCAGATATATTTATTAAATATCTTTTATAGTCTTAGTATTGTTTAAAGCATTTGAGGAATGAAGACAAATTAATACAATCTATATTTAAGAAGTAACTAAATTGTAGTAAATACCTAGAATTCAAAAAGAATCATCTACTGTTTATTAAAAATGCATTAATCATCACTTACTCTTCTAACATCTTTGAAGGTTTTAGATATACTTTCTTTGCCTTATAATGTTAGCATATTATCCTACAATATTAATGAACTAAGAAAGAATAATTATAGGCAATTTTCTTTGGATCTGAATTCTATGGCATATTTACTCAGCAAGAACAAAATAACAAATTTATATCCTTTGAGGTTTTGTAATTATAATTAAATTAAAAATATTAGGAAATGTTCAACATAGTATAACTGAATCAGTCTGGGCTATGTAAAATACTCTAAATGTTTTACGTGGTATGTACCTGTTCAGAAACTGTTCCTGTATCACTTCCTTATTCCACAAGGTACATAAATACAATAGAAACAGTATAGAACATGTACATTACATGCGGCCTATCTGATATATAATCATATATCCTACAGCATATGAACATACAGTAACCAAAAATAATCTGTGATTCATCTAAAAATTACAATTTTGGTCTTATCATTATGTTAATTGGGGAAATTTTACATTGCCACATGACTGACAGTTGACCTGGAAATAAGAGAAAGGGATGATACAAGCTGGCTCTTACACTGTGTGTTCAGAGCGATCAGATGAAGGAGAATGAAAGTAGAAGAATGCAGTAACTAAACAAAATAACAAATACATTTAAAAAAAACATATTTTCAGTCTAAAAGACCATGGTTCATACTGCAAAATTAATTTACCTTTATTCTCCCCAGTTTTCTATTTCCAAATTCCATGACTCTAACTGATAATCTTCTAGGGCAGGTTTCTCTATAATGGCCTAACTACATTTTAGGGCAAATAATTTTGTTGTTGCTGTTGTAAGGATAGTCTCTATGATGCTGATGTTTTAGCAGCATCCCTCTTTCCTACCCATTGGATATCAGAAGCAACAATAAAAAATGTCTCAGGCATTGCCAAATGTCCCCTGGATGTGTGGGGAAGAATGTATCAGAGAAGGAGCTGACCTTTGTTCAAGGGTCTTACACTGAGAAGGAGAGGAGCCCTAAATTAAATAAGAATTGTTGAATTTACATACCTTTTAAAATCAAGAAGGATAAAACTAGCTATCCATGGGAATAATCTTCAGTAGATATTAACCAGGCAAAATATATGAAGAAAGGAATTCTAAGAAAAGAAAATACATTGTTCAAAATCACAGATATGATGTATGCTGGCATTACCAATCAATAAATGTTTTAGCATTAAAGTGGCTAATAAGCAAGAATTATAAGAGTTGTGGCAATGAACAGGGAAGAAGACCAAATGCGAGGTACCAATTTAAGCAAATCAATCATGCAGGAGGTTGGGCAAAATTTTTGCCCATTATAAGTTCAATCTGTCAGTAGCTTGGTGAATGAACTGATGAGCTTGAAAATAGTGGGTTGGAATAACTTAGTGGAAAGCTATTTGTAATAGCCCTGCTGGAATATCATAAAATGATGTGAAAATAGTGAAAGAATAACAAGGCAAATCCATGGAACTCACTGACTTGATGTAGGAGTGTCATCACCTATCCTAGCTGGTGACTTATGCTGCATTCACAAATCTGACTATTCCAACAACTTAAGAAAATGGGGAAGAAAGCACACAAACACGCAGAAGTACCTTTTCAAGAATCGTAAAGGCTCTGTAACCATAAGGGTCTATGGAAAGAGAGAGAGCCATTGGATTCTTTATTCTTATATAGGAGACACACAAGAGGAGGTTCCATGGAAAATTCTATCCCAAAAAGGGCAAAGTGGTAGGATTACAAAGGAAGAGGTGAGTGTAACTCAACCCCACCCAGTAATGCCTACTCCTAGAGCCACACCCCATTATCCGAGAGGTGGTAAAGCACAAGTTATTGTGGGGTGCAATAATTGTTCAGTATCTCTTACTCAGGACTTAAGGGAGTGTATTTCCAGAGCGGCTCCCAACATAAAATAATCTGAGAGAGATGAAGCGGAAAATGTTCTTGGGCTGAGAATTACTGGGCTGGATGACAACAGGCAACCTGAGGGAAATACTTTGTGTGCATAAATATGCACATGTTTAAAAGAAAAAAAACAATTTCTCTAATCATTGAAATCCCGGAGCCAAACAATACTGAAATTTGGATATTCTCTGTATGGGTATATCCTTAATCATTATTCTCATGTATAATTCCTGTTCCAAATTATGGCAATTACCAACAGCTAGAATTTTTAAGAAATGTAAAGATCTCAATATAAATTTCCTAAAAGGGCAAATTTCTTCCCTGCAATATAAAGAGCTCTTCTTTTTATCTCATATGTGATCTTTATCCTTTGATTTCTGCCTCAAGGTCTTCAGTGACAGAAAACTCCCCTATTTTTTCTGTGACAATCTTTTACATTGCAGGACAGCTCTGAATGTCAGAAAGATCCTTGTATAATTATCCCCAAACTCCCTCCATCTTGATTTTTTATTAAGGTTTTAAATCTACATTCCCAAACAACACATTTTCCATTGATTGTCCAGAATTTAAGACCAGACTAGACAGTTCAAACCCTGAATCTGCTACTGAATACCTTTCATGCTCTTGAGCTCGTTATAAAAGTAAGTTCAACAATGTCAGCATTGGTAAAATAAGACAAATGGATAGAACCACATTAAAGGATGACTGAAAATTAAATGAGATAATTCATTTCAAATACATAGAAAGAATTGTAAAATGTACTGTTATTTCATAAAATGCCAGATGTTAACTCACAAATACTTACCCACTCCTTCCCATGAAACAAATCAGATATTTGAAGATACACTGAGAACTTCTTCTGAATCCCCTCCAGTCAGCATGGATAGGCTCCTAACCTTTAGTAAACAAAGTTTAAATTCAAATATTAATCCAGTTCTCTAGAGATCCTCCAACTTGTCAGACCTTAAATTTTTCCACTCTATATTTTATTAACTGTTTGAGATATATTCTGGAAAACATTTATTATGATAATATGGAATCTTTCTGACTTGAAACACTTGACTCTAGACACTGTTGCTTT